CTAGTGCAGGTGTGGTTACTGGCGAAAAAGTTATTTTGCCGGTAATGCTGATACCAGGGCAGCAAGCAGATTAAGCTATGCCAGCAAAAGCCCTTTCAGGCTTGCATAACTGCATCACACTAAAGCTTGTGCCAGTATAGTGATGTAGAAAAAAAAATCTCCCCCCCCCCGCCCCCCAACCAACATTGCTGTACTAGTAAAAGCATAGGCCTAGTCTTAGACCAGATACTCTGGTCCAACCGAGTTGTGCTCAGCACTAGAATGTGATGCAATCCCCCATCAGATTCAAGTATTGAGCCATTCTTTAAGCCGCCCTTTGTGCCTACTCCATTCAGAGCTGTCTGACCACCAGGCTACTGCCTGGGCAAATTAGATCAGCCTCAGGGTTGCTCTACTTTACTCCAGCTGCTTGTGGTCTCAGAGGGCCAATCCCAAATCCAGGATCAGAGAGGTGTTGAGATTCCCCAGCCTGGCCTCAAATGCTGGGTAGCTGGGGGAGCGTTGGAGCTGCTTTGCTAGCCTTACACCGTGGAGGGTTCCCCAATCCAAGAGGAATCCTACACTGTCCAGTTAAGCTAGCTTTAAAGCTGCTTTTCCCTATGGGAGACACACAAAGCAACCATAACTGGACAGGAAATTTGGCCCAGGGAAGTTTCTGCCCATGTGACTCCAGGGTGAGCATTGGTGCCTGACTCCAAGCCCATGGAGATCTCAGGCAGCAGTTCTGTGGTCACCGGTCAGAATTTCGAGCTACACTTGTCCAGGATGCTGCTGGCTGCATCAGCATCACTAGAGAATCTGCCTTTCTGCCAGCACAACTGGGAACCTGGATCAGGTACATGGCATCAGTATTTGACCTGAAGGAGTGATGGGTGCTCAGCACCTCTGAAAAGCCAGCCACTTATTTAGATCCCTACATTTCAAGCCTTGGTTTTCCTGTCTGTGCCTAACTAGTGATGAACAGGAACTATGTTCAACTGCCTCCCGCTCCAAGGGGCTGAGCCCAAGCAGCTAGAGCTACTGGATATGTTGAAGCATTCACTGACAGCATTAAGCGGGTGAGAGGACTCGATTAATAGAGAATTAAAGGAGGATAATATCACTAATTCCAGTCAAGACGGGTTTATGGAAAATAAATATGTCAACTTGATGTCTATTTCTGAAGTTTGGCTGCTAACGGTAATAGTATTGATGTAATATACATAGGGTATGTCTACACTACGGAATAAGGTCGAATTTATAGAAGTCAGTTTTTTAGAAATCGGTTTTATATATTCGAGTGTGTGTGTCCCCACAGAAAATGCTCTAAGTGCATTAAGTGCATTAACTCGGCGGAGTGCTTCCACAGTACCGAGGCTAGAGTCGACTTCCGGAGCGTTGCACTGTGGGTAGCTATCCCAAAGTTCCCGCAGTCTCCGCTGCCCATTGGAATTCTGGGTTGAGATCCCAATGCCTGATGGGGCTAAAACATTGTCGCGGGTGGTTCTGGGTACATATCGTCAGGCCCCCGTTCCCTCCCTCCCTCCGTGAAAGCAAGGGCAAACAATCATTTCACGCCTTTTTTCCTGAGTTACCTGTGCAGACGCCATATCACAGCAAGCATGGAGCCTGCTCAGGTAACCGTCACCGTATGTCTTCTGGGTGCTGCAGACGCGGTACGGCATTGCTACACAGTAGCAGCAACCCCTTGCCTTGTGACAGCAGACGGTGCAATACGACTGGTAGCCGTCAGCGTCGTGTCCGAGGTGCTCCTGGCCACGTCGGCTGGGAGCGCCTGGGCAGACATGGGCGCAGGGACTAAATTTGGAGTGACTTGACCAGGTCATTCTCTTTAGTCCTGCAGTCAGTCCTATTGAACCGTCTTATGGTGAGCAGGCAGGTGATACAGATTGCTAGCAGTCCTATTGCACCATCTTCTGCCGAGCAGCCATGAGATGTGGATGGCATGCAGTCCTTCTGCACCGTCTGCTGCTAGCCAAAGATGTAAAAGATAGATGGAGTGGATCAAAACAAGAAATAGACCAGATTTGTTTTGTACTCATTTGCCTCCTTCCCCCGTCTAGGGGACTCATTCCTCTAGGTCACAGTGCAGTCACTCACAGGGAAGGTGCAGTGAGGTAAATCTAGCCATGTATCAATCAGAGGCCAGACTAACCTCCTTGTTCCAATAAGAACAATAACTTAGGTGCACCATTTCTTATTGGAACCCTCCGTGAAGTCCTGCCTGAAATACTCCTTGATGTAAAGCCACCCCCTTTGTTGATTTTAGCCCCCTGAAGCCAACCCTGTAAGCCATGTCGCCAGTCGCCCCTCCCTCCGTCAGAGCAACGGCAGACAATCGTTCCGCGCCTTTTTTCTGTGCGGACGCCATACCAAGGCAAGCATGGAGGCCGCTCAGCTCACTTTGGCAATTAGGAGCACATTCAACACCACACGCATTATCCAGCAGTATATGCAGCACCAGAACCTGGCAAAGCGATACCAGGCGAGGAGGCGACGTCAGCACGGTCACGTGAGTGATCAGGACATGGACACAGATTTCTCTGAAAGCATGGGCCCTGCCAATGCATGCATCATGGTGCTAATGGGGCAGGTTCATGCTGTGGAACGCCGATTCTGGGCTTGGGAAACAAGCACAGACTGGTGGGACCGCACAGTGTTGCAGGTCTGGGACGATTCCCAGTGGCTGCGAAACTTTCGCATGCGTAAGGGCACTTTCATGGAACTTTGTGACTTGCTTTCCCCTGCCCTAAAGCGCATGAATACCAAGATGAGAGCAGCCCTCACAGTTGAGAAGCGAGTGGCGATAGCCCTGTGGAAGCTTGCAACGCCAGACAGCTACCGGTCAGTTGGGAATCAATTTGGAGTGGGCAAATCTACTGTGGGGGCTGCTGTGATGCAAGTAGCCCACGCAATCAAAGATCTGCTGATATCAAGGGTAGTGACCCTGGGAAATGTGCAGGTCATAGTGGATGGCTTTGCTGCAATGGGATTCCCTAACTGTGGTGGGGCCATAGACGGAACCCATATCCCTATCTTGGCACCGGAGCACCAAGCCGGCGAGTACATAAACCGCAAGGGGTACTTTTCAATAGTGCTGCAAGCTCTGGTGGATCACAAGGGACGTTTCACCAACATCAATGTGGGATGGCCGGGAAAGGTACATGACGCTCGCATCTTCAGGAACTCTGGTCTGTTTCAAAAGCTGCAGGAAGGGACTTTATTCCCAGACCAGAAAATAACTGTTGGGGATGTTGAAATGCCTATAGTTATCCTTGGGGACCCAGCCTACCCCTTAATGCCATGGCTAATGAAGCCGTACACAGGCAGCCTGGACAGTAGTCAGGAGCTGTTCAACTACAGGCTGAGCAAGTGCAGAATGGTGGTAGAATGTGCATTTGGACATTTAAAGGCGCGCTGGCGCAGTTTACTGACTCGCTTAGACCTCAGTGAAACCAATATTCCCACTGTTATTACTGCTTGCTGTGCGCTCCACAATATCTGTGAGAGTAAGGGGGAGACGTTTATGGCGGGGTGGGAGGTTGAGGCAAATCGCCTGGCTGCTGGTTACACGCAGCCAGATACCAGGGCGGTTAGAAGAGCACAGGAGGGCGCGGTACGCATCAGAGAAGCTTTGAAAACCAGTTTCGTGACTGGCCAGGCTACGGTGTGAAAGTTCTGTTTGTTTCTCCTTGATGAAACCCCCCGCCCCTTGGTTCACTCTACTTCCCTGTAAGCTAACCACCCTCCCCTCCTCCCTTCGATCACTGCTTGCAGAGGCAATAAAGTCATTGTTGCTTCACATTCATGCATTCTTTATTCATTCATCACACAAATAGGGGGATGACTACCAAGGTAGCCCAGGAGGGGTGGTGGAGGAGGGAAGGAAAATGCCACACAGCACTTTAAAAGTTTACAACTTTAAAATTTATTGAATGCCAGCCTTCTGTTTTTTGGGCAATCCTCTGTGGCGGAGTGGCTGGTTGGCCGGTGGCCCCCCCACCGCGTTCTTGGGCGTCTGGGTGTGGAGGCTATGGAACTTGGGGAGGAGGGCGGTTGGTTACACAGGGGCTGTAGTGGCAGTCTGTGCTCCAGCTGCCTTTGCTGCAGCTCAACCATACACTGGAGCATACTGGTTTGGTCCTCCAGCAGCCTCAGCATTGAATCCTGCCTCCTCTCATCACTCTGCCGCCACATTTGAGCTTCAGCCCTGTCTTCGGCCCGCCACCTCTCCTCCCGGTCATTTTGTGCTTTCCTGCACTCTGACATTATTTGCCTCCACGCATTCGTCTGTGCTCTGTCAGTGCGGGAGGACAGCATGAGCTCGGAGAACATTTCATCTCGAGTGCGTTTTTTTTTTCTTTCTAAGCTTCACTAGCCTCTGGGAAGGAGAAGATCCTGTGAAACACATGCAGCTGGTGGAGGAAAAAAAAGGGACAGCGGTATTTAAAAAGACACATTTTATAAAACAGTGGCTACACTCTTTTAGGGTAAAACTTGCTGTTAACATTACATACATAGCACATGTGCTTTCGTTACAAGGTCGCATTTTGCCTCTCCCCACCGCGTGGCTACCCCCTCAACCCTCTCCCCCCCCGGCTAACAGCGGGGAACATTTCTGTTTAGACACAGGCAAACAGCCCAGCAGGAACGGGCTCCTCTGAGTGTCCCCTGAAGAAAAGCACTCTATTTCAACCAGGTGACCATGAATTATATCTCACTCTCCTGAGGATAACACAGAGAGATAAAGAACGGATGTTGTTTGAACGCCAGCAAACATACACTGCAATACTTTGTTGTACAGTGATTCCCGAGTACGTGTTACTGGCCTGGAGTGGTAAAGTGTCCTACCATGAAGGATGCAATAAGGCTGCCCTCCCCAGAAACCTTTTGCAAAGGCTTTGGGAGTACATCCAGGAGAGCCGCGAATGCCAGGGCAAAGTAATCCTTTCACATGCTTGCTTTTAAACCATGTATAGTATTTTAAAAGGTACATTCACCGGAGGTCCCTTCTCCGCCTGCCGGGTCCAGGAAGCAGCCTTGGGTGGGTTCAGGGGGTACTGGCTCCAGGTCCAGGGTGAGAAACAGTTCCTGGCTGTCGGGAAAACTGGTTTCTCCGCTTGCTTGCTGTGAGCTATCTACAACCTCATCATCATCATCATCTTCTTCTTCGTCCCCAAAACCTGCTTCCATGTTGCCTCCATCTCCATTGAAGGAGTCAAATAACACGGCTGGGGTAGTGGTGGCTGAACCCCCTAAAATGGCATGCAGCTCATCATAGAAGCGGCATGTTTGGGGCTCTGACCCGGAGCGGCCGTTCGCCTCTCTGGTTTTCTGGTAGGCTTGCCTCAGCTCCTTAAGTTTCACGCGGCACTGCTTCGGGTCCCTGTTATGGCCTCTGTCCTTCATGCCCTGGGAGATTTTGACAAAGGTTTTGGCATTTCAAAAACTGGAACGGAGTTCTGATAGCACGGATTCCTCTCCCCAAACAGCAATCAGATCCCGTACCTCCCGTTCGGTCCATGCTGGAGCTCTTTTGCGATTCTGGGACTCCATCATGGTCACCTGCAGCTTGCCACACTGGCCAAACAGGAAATGAGATTCAAAAGTTCGCGGTTCTTTTCCTGTCTACCTGGCCAGTGCATCTGAGTTGAGAGTGCTGTCCAGAGCGGTCACAATGGAGCACTCTGGGATAGCTCCCGGAGGCCAATACCGTCGAATTGTGTCCACAGTACCTCAAATTCGAGCTGGCAAGGCCGATTTAAGCGCTAATCCACTTGTCAGGGGTGGAGTAAGGAAATCGATTTTAAGAGCCCTTTAAGTCGAAATAAAGGGCTTCATCGTGTGGACGGGTGCGGGTTTACATCGATTTAACGCTGCTAAATTCTACCTAAAGTCCTAGTGTAGACCAGGGCACAGACTTCGGCAAGGTGTTTGACTTGGTAGCACATGATATTCTGATAAAAAATTAGAAAGATACAAAACTAACATGATACACATTAAAAGCTCACTAACCAGTATGTCTCAAAATCTAATTGTAAACTGCGTGTTTCTAGTTGGGTCCCACAGGAATCGGTTCTTGGCCCTACGCTATTTAACATTTTTATCAATGCCGTGGAAAAAAACATAAAATCATCACAGATAAAGTCTGTGGATGACACAAATTGGGAGAGGAGTAAATAATGAAGATGATGCATCAGTGATAAAGAACAATCTGGATTGTTTAATAAACTAGCTGCAAGGAAACACTATGCATTTTACTATAGCTAAATGTAAATATATACATCTAGGAACAAAGAATGTAGGCCTTAGTTAGAGGATGGGAAGCAGTGACTCTGAAAAAGATTTGGGGGTTGTGGTGGATAAGCAGCTGAACATGAGCTCCTAGTGTAATGCTGTGGCCCAAAGAGCTAATGCGACCCTGGAACGCATAAACAGGGAAACCTTGAGTGGGATTACAGAGATTGTTTTTTTACTTCTGTGTTTGGCACTGGTGTGACTGTGGCTGGAATATTGTGGCCAGTTCTGGCATCCATAATTCAGGAGGGATGTTGATAAATTGGAGAGGGTTCAGAGAAGATCCACAAGAATGATTGATTAATGGATTAGAAAACCTGCTTTAGGGTAACAGAGCTCCATCTATTTAGTTTAACAAAAAGAAGATTAAGGTGACTTGATTACAGCCTATAAGTACCTACATGGGGAGCAAATATTTAACAGTGGGCTCATCAATTCAACAGGGGGCAGAGAAAGATCTAACATGAGCCAATGGCTGGAAGTTGAAGCTAGACAAATTCAGGGTGGAAATAAGGAGTACATTTTTAACAGGGAGAGTAAGTAACCACTGGAACAATTTACCAAGGGCTGTGGTGGATTCTCCCTCACTGACAATTTTTAAATCTAGAATGGATGTTTGTCTAAAAGCTCTGCTCTGGGAATTGTTTGGGGACAGGTCTCTGTGCCTGTGACTAAATGATCACATGGGCCTTTCTGGCCCTGGGATCTATGACTCTGTGAAGGAGCAGTGAGGGGAGCGAAATAACACAAAGGGAGGTAGGGCCTATGAAAGTCAGTGGGAGTCTCGTTACTGGCATCAGTGGGCAATGGCTAAGGATCCCGATCCTCAAAGGTATTTAGGTGTCTCACTCCTATTGAAAAACGGGAATTCGGTACCTAATACCGTTGAAGATCTGGGCCAAGGCCAGGGCCAGCTCCAGGCACCAGGGTTCCAAGCAGGTGCTTGGGACGGCAGTCAGAAAGGGACGGCCGTGTTTCCATTGCGGTGGCAATTCGGTGGCAGCTTCTCTGTTCCGCCGGCCGCGGCAGCAATTCAGCGGTAGCTTCTTCCCTTTGCCATCCGTGGCGGCAATTAGTTGGCGACAGTTTTTTTCACTGCTTGGGGGGGCAAAAACGGTAAAGCCGGCCCTGGCCAAGGCTGTTAGAGATTTGAGCAAGAAAGATCACCACGAGATTCAGTTTGGAACCCAGCTGCTCATACATGTGGGGAGAAATAGCAGCTGCCAAAAGAAAAAGGACTAGTCTAGTTTTGGGGATGCAGATAGAGAGGCACACACCATCACAAAGCAGGGAAGCCCGAGGCCCTTCTCTCTGCAGCTCTGGAATATTAGCCTGATTCTATTCTTACCATGGGCTTTAGTGGAGTTACTGCAGTTTTACACTGCTGGGAGGGAGAAGAGAATTGGGCCAATTGTGATGATCATTTCTGGTCAACTATTTACTAAAAGATATAGGCAAGTTGGAGGGAGTTCAGAGAAGAGAAACCCAAAGTGGTTATGGCTTCATGTGGCCAAGCTGAAGGAGGTAAATCCGCATAGCGTGAAGCACAGTAACAATCTGCAGGTATTAGAAGGGTCTGAAGTCCAAAGAGGCAGAGGAATAATTTAGTAAAGTATGGAGACTTTTAGACTGAATATAAACTTCCCGTGGAATAAGTTTCCTAAGGGATCCCCCTGTTGCCTGGCCCACGTAGCACAGAACTGGACAGGCCAGTCTGGCGCTGGCAGGGAGATGGACGGGATTAAATAGCCCTTTTCCATCCCTCGAATCTCTGGCTGTTCCGCTCTCCAAGGAGGGAAGCATACTGTCATTTCCAGCTCAGCTTCGGAATCTCCATTACAATCTCTTTGGCAGTCCCAGACGCTCTGTCCTCACCTGAAGGCTCTGGCACCGGGCCCAGTGAAGCCAAACCCTGCGCAGCCATAAAGGAGAAAGCAAAACCACAGGCTGAATTTGTAGGGATTCCCGGCTCCATTCCCTAGCACAATAGGATATGGGCTAATTGGTGGCTTTGGAGGGGCTGAGGACAGGCCTGGGTCAGCATAGAAAGTGGACGGGTATTGACCTCTAGAGAAGGTAGCACCTCCAGGTCAAAGCTGAGGTCATTAGGAGGCCAAGGAAGGAAAGATTAACTGCCCCTTGGTATGTTTGTGCTGCACCACACCTGGCCTGTGAATAAACAGAGGGTTTCAATTTCCAGAGCTTTTAATCTCTTAATTCTTTCGGACATGTGCATTATACATTCTCTCCCTCTCCCTTCCTCTCTCTCACCCCCCCTCCCTTCCTCTCCAAATGCAAAAATAAATCTACCCCCAGGAACCCTGGGCATTGAGACTTCTTGTTCACAGTCCTTCTGACCTCGCTTGGGAGGGTTCCCTTTGCCCCAGCATGGACCCGATCCTGCACAACTGAAACCAGAGAGAGCAGATTTGTAGCCTCTTCATGGGGATCCCAGTGTGAACAGTGTCACCAAACTAGGAGTGAACCCTTCCTCCTGCCTCTCCAGAGGGACCCGATGCTGTCCACTCCCACTGACATCTCGGGGGCTATCCAGCCTTGCCTGCGAGTTCTCTTTGGCTTTGAACAGTTTCGCTTGCCCAGGAAGGGGAGGCAACCACAAGCCCCTTCTTAAAGCAAAAGCCAAAGCTGTCCTCCCTGTGCACCATGCAGCAAACTCCTTGAGAGCAGAGAGCTCAGCCCCTTTCCGAGTGTAGCAGGAAGTGACCCCCCCAACACCCACATCCCTTTAGCACACCCAGGGGAGCAAGAGGAGTTAGTGGGACAGGGGGCAGCCTTCCACCAGCAAATCACTTGACTGCCATTGCATACCATGCTGCCCGGCAGCTGGCCGACCCCCACTCCCTTGACTCACCAGTCCCTTCCCAATCAACATTTGGAAGAGGGGCTAGGGGGAGACGGTGGGATCCTATTCGAAAAGGTGAGATCATCTTCTCACTCTGCCCTTTCTTGGAAAAATCCTTCCTTCGCTGAAACTTCAGTTAGCCACCCCTTTGTTGAAAGGCATCTTGGCAGCGGCACATGGAAAAATCAAAATATGTTTTGAAAAGGCAACTTTTAAAAAGTATTCCACATAGAAACCTAAAACGATCCGTTCTGAGGAGGCCCCTAGGGACAGACAGAGAGCGAGGCAGGGGATAATCCATACCTCTGCTTTTTATAAAGCCTCTCTCCAGAAGAGAGACCTCTTCTCCGTATTATTGTGGAGAAACCATATTTCTGAATGCAGGGGGAAGGTCCATGGAGCGGGAGTGAATGGCTGTGAAATCCCCAGCATAACTGCGTCCATATGCTCTGGAACGCTGTGTGACAAAGGAAAATTCTGGGGGAGAGGAGCACTGAGGTAACCTGCTCCTCCAGGGCTGTAATAAAACTGGCCCACGAATGAATTAGACCATGCGAAAAGGAAAGGGCCTGAATGGGTCACACCCTCTCAAACAGCAAGAGATTAAACCTCATAAATCTCTGATATTAAACTGGTATGACACGGGTGAACCTAACCAATAAAACAATGCCGCAGCGTAAACGCCGTCTTCCAACACTGGTATGAACGCTGCTGGAGAGGCGGGATGGAACTAGAACCAGCTGACAGGACTGCCCTTAAACATGGAAAGTTTAGATGAGCTAGGAACAGGGGATTTGTTTCTGCTGCTATTGCCATCTGTGGCAAAACAGCCATTGACTTCAATGGTAGCAGAATTTGCATTCCCCAACCCTGGTTAGTGAAAAGCGAACAGATGCACATAAGGGTCTGGACTAAAGTTGGCTAGATTTAGGTTCAGATCCTGGCTCTTGACTGGCTTCCTGTGTGACCTTGGGCAAGTCACATGATCTCTCTGTGGTTCAGTTCCTGAGCTATCAAACAAGGATGATATGTCCCTACAGTACAGGAGTGCAATGTGGGTAAATACATTAGTGTTTGTGGGGTGCCCAGCTACCACAAGGATAGTTGGGTGTAGCCCACAGTCAGGCTTATTAGTGAATAAACTGGTACCTGTGTCACTTATAAAAACAGGTCAAACCCTCATGAACTTAGCATGGAACCTGGCCCTGAGCCACCACTGGGTTTGGGTTAGGGCTTGCAAAAGCAAAACCCATCTGAGATTCTCCAGGATGCACCCCAGCCACACTTTAGCCTTCGCCAGCACCTTCCATCTGAGGCACTCAGAGTGGTTTACAAATGTTGACTGATTAAGCATTGCAGTAATCCTGTGCAATCGGTGCATTTCCCTTAATATGTTATCGCTCACAATAAAATGAGATGCTAGACACCCCAGTTTGCATGGTGGCATTTTCCATCAAGTACCTGCCATCTGGGGTTCTTTGGAGACTCTTTCCACAAGATACCAAGACCTTCTCTGCAATAAATTCACACACACGCCACCCAAAAGTAAGTTCAGCCTGTTATTTTTAACATTATCATTAAAGATGAACATTGAAGCTCGAACATTTTAGGAAATGTTACCCTTTTACAGTATTGCCAACTCTCACACTATTTGATGCCTTTCTTAAAGCTCTAGCTTCTGGAGTCCTGTGATTATGTCAGAAGCTCCT